AATTTTTCAGATGTTCAACTTTTTCGGATTCTTTTCCCTAACGTTCATATTGGCGTTTTTGGCTACAGTAATGATTGACGCACCATTTGGAATCCTCGTGAAGACTTTATTAGGTCCAGGTAACTAATTAGTTTTAAATTAATTAATTCACATAAACTAAACATTTATGGGCAACGGTCTCCACTATTCGAAGGGTACTTGGTCGCCGTTAATTTTAAAAATTAGAATATCAATTGAAATTATTACTGTTATAGGTGTGAAGCCAGAGAAAACTGTGGATATAAAGGATCAAGACAAAGAAATCATTTCAATGCCAACAGATATTAAAACAATTCCTACGAACCCTACGATTGTAGCTGATGCAGAAAAATCTTTATCACCTAGATAGTTCTATAGTTACAGTATTTTGAAATAGCAATCTTGAAAGAAAGACAACATTTTTTTAGTATTAATACCATTTAATATTCTAAAAATCCTTCAATGTGTCTGTCTGTCGCATTTTTATACAGATTTTCCTACAAACTAACTATCAGCAAATGATAATTTCAATTGAAGCCAAGGCTGGTCGTTGGCGTTGATTTTTTATTAATTTAAAATAATGTACGTTACCGCGAAGAGATTATAAATTATAATTATTTATTTAAATTAGATAAGTAAATCATTGAATCGGCCCAGCTCGTCCGGTGAAATACCACGACTACACAGAAGACAGGCGTGTAGTGGAAGCAATTCCCCGTTTCGTCTGATGAGTGTGGGTCCCGGAAGCCTAATTTAGTCCTATTTCCCTTCCCATCCTTTTTCTTATAAGGAAAGGATGGGAAGTGGAAGTGCACTTTCCGGATAAGAGGATGCATGGGAAGGGAAAATATTTTCTTTCTGTGCATCCTCTCCTCCGTCGAGTAAAGGTAGGCAACGCATATGCAATCGCGTATGTCTATGGGTAACGTTCACTTCGCTATTTCAGCGATTTCAGATGGCCGCTCGCTCGTTTGCCACCTTTTGATATAAAAAAAATCATTATGTTTAAAATATATTGTTAAGAAAGGAAAGATCTTATGTATTTTTAATAGTAATATTTGTTATTTTCTTTTATATTTTTAGTTATATGTTATTTACATTGTGTAATAAATACGAATGCAATTATAATGTAAATAGCGTTTTATTATACCTACAAATTAGACCTTCATCACCTTGGGTGGAGTACTGCAGACTTGGTTTGTGGGAATAAAGTTAACTTACATTATTTATTAATAAATCTCAAGTAGTAGTGGTAGTAAGTGGAGATAAAAACGAATAGAAGCAGTTTACAAAGTAGAAAAAAAAAACAAATAAAAACCTCGCGGCCAGCCTCAACATAGACTGCAACCAAAAATTAACACACCTCTTACTAATAATATAAATGTTTGTACGGAGGGATGGATGTTCTCTAATTTTGGCATAGATGTAGAACATAGTCGTGAAGAACACAGGCAAGTAATTTTGTTTTTTTTATTCCTCGCGGACGGACTCTCAGGCGACAGTTTGCATACATACAATCGATTCTTAGTATTTATACAGATTAAGAGGTGCATTGTTAACAGCTATTATCCGATAGAATTAAGATTATTTAAATACTCTGCGGTATCGACCAGGTGTTAAAAATTTGTACCTAATTGTACCGCTATCAATGAATTATCCTCATATCAAATTTCCAACCAGTTTTATTGTTATCAAAATGATAATAATGTTGAAATATTTGTGGCTGTATTAAATGTACCTTTGCCCTCATTTTTTTTAGTTAAAATATTCCATTAATCTATTATATGTAATGATTAATATAAAAATAAATTCAGGGTTACTAAATGAACGTGAATCAGACTTGATACTTTGATACGTGATATTAAGTTTTTTTTTTATTTTACTTAATAGGACTTTGTACTTTGCACAGATTGTAGATGTTTATTTATAAGAAAAAATCTAATCATTAAGCAATAAGCTGATTAGATTTTTTAAATTGGCAATATTGCTTGTAGAGGGAATTATCAATTGCATTTAAAACTATAATCTACGTTTACTTTTGGGCACATGTCTGCGATCGTTGGTGTCAAGTGAGCTCACTGAAGGTGCAGGAGAATGCATGAATGTTGGTCTCTACTTAAATTTCCTCATGCACACCCGAAACCTAAACTTGTGTTCAGCGCAGCGTCTCGTGCAAGCGAGCGTCCTTAAAGTTTTAATGCCAATGCATCCATTTAAGTTTACCCACAAGTCCATCTTGTAGGTTATTAATGTTATTTTCCTTTAAAAAAAGTTAGTTTATAAATCACGTACATTATTAAGTAGCGATACTTAAGGCTTAAAAAACACCTCTTATGACTTCTAAAGGGACAAAGTTTGTATTTGTATGTCCTTAGGGAACGGAAATTTCAACATAAAGTCTCAAGTAAAATGTAGGCACGAAAATATTTGTCTCCAGAGTTCTGAACGGTGACAAGACACGTTCCTTGTAACTTAATGGTTTGAAATATTTGTTGTTGTTATTTAGTTAGAAAAATGTACATCATCATCATCATAATCAGCCTAGATTTATCCACTGCTGGATGTAGGTCTCCCCCATCGATTGCCACAATGCCCGGTCCTGTGCCGCCCGCATCCTAGTACACTCCTGCAACCTTGACCAGGTCATCGGTCCTTCGTGCGGTAGGCCTACCTACGCAGCGTCGACCCGTCCGCGGCCGCCACTCAAGACTTTTCGGCCCCATCGGCCGTCCGTTCTGCGGGTAATTTATATACGCCGTTGAAATCATGAATTTCAAAATCATTTTTTTAATATACAGCCCACAGATGGCGCTATTTCACGCCATTAGCCTTAACCAGCAGGAGTTTTTTTAGGTTAGGTCATTTTTAACAAAAATGATTGTAATAATTTCAGAGCAGATCCTCGTTATTATATTTTTACACATGTATAACTTTTGTTTTCTGTTTTGATCTAGTAATATGGTAGCATTTCTTTATCGGTCAAAGAGTAACAAGTAACGAATCAATCATCGTTTTTATGTGTGGAATATATTCATTAAAATTCTTTAGAAAATTATGACGCCCACTTATCAGCACAAAGTCTAACACTTGATCTTCGCAAAGGGAAGGAGCTGTTAAATATAATACCAATATAAATATAATAATACTTAGAACTAAAAAAAAAGGTCTCATAAAATCTCTGGATAAGCCATAAATTAACAAAGTAAATATTTACTTTCTTACTTTATTGCAAAAGCTTTCATTTTGTTTTAAAAAAAATCAGAGGCGTTATTAATAACAAAGGTTTGGTCAAACTTTGCTTTTGCCATTTTTCTCGTTTGTATCGGCGGTTCTCGCGTTTCTCCATTTAATGTTTAAACTTTGTGAATAACAGGCTTTCATAAAACATTTACGTAAAATGAAACATGAATTTCTTTTCAGTTATTTTTTGTTAAATTATTATTTAATCATACTTTAGACACAAAATTATCGAATTTAAATAAAAACGGCTAAACACTCACGTATATTCGTCCGGTGGCGACACCGACTAGTTTCGAGCCCATCGGGGGCCCTTCATCAGGGTGAGTGGGACTGGTAGTGTCAGTGAGCGACGGGCCGCGCCCGCGAATTAATAATAGTCCCATTCACCCTGATGAAGGGCCGATGGGCTCGAAACTAGTCGGTGCCGCCACCGGACGATTATACGTGAGTGTTTAGCCGTTTTTATATATTTATATATAATGTCTCACGAAATTTTGAATAACAAAATGTTTGACAATGGATACATTGTTATAACACAATAAAAATGTCTTTTGAATAATTAATTATACCTTATACTAACTAAATACAAACTACAATTTTGGTTAAAACGCATAAATTCTAGAAAAATCTGATAAAATTATTTTCTCATTTAACTTTTTAGTAGATGTTTTCCGCGTTTGTATAATTATAATTCATGTTAAAAAAAACTGCTTTTCAAAGGATTGGCTACACAGACAATACACAGATATTAAACGACTCGATTTATCGGATTCCGCAGGCAAGGGGTTTTATACCTATATTCTTTGTTGGGATAAAACACATTTAAACAAGTACAAAGCCAAAGTATAAAAGGATTACACATTAACTTATCTTGTATAATACATATACATATGTACATTTAATAACGGATATCCAGAGTCGTCAGTGACCTCATTTTATTAAGGGTTCCATTGCTTCTAAAAAAAATAGTAGTGAGTTACAATTATAAACTTCTAAAGTTCATTTCCATCTCCACTATCGTTATCCATATCCTTTGGCAAAAAACTAAAAAAAAAGTTTTTTTTTTTAATTGGAAGTGATCATCGTATGTTTTTGTCCTTGTATCAGCAGTGGAAACTTACATTATTATTCTTCAATTTCGTCTCGCGATTTGATACTTGCATCACCGCACAAAAAAGTATGAAAAATATTTCTTGATGTGATTATAAGAAATCAAATGGTTTTATAGAAAAGAAATCGGACTGTTTACTAAAAGAAGTAATAAACTTTCAGAAGCAAAGAGAAATTTCTAAAGGAACCATTTGGCAAAGTTTATTTTAAAAATACAATAATTGAATTCGAGAGAGTTTTACCTTTACGTAGCGAACCAATTTCTAAAATATATTATGTTCAAGTACTAAAATCATTTTTAAAGATATCGAAAACAATGGATCCTTTAATATTACTATATTGGTTTAAATATCAATTTAATTTGAAATACGAAATAATTTGAATTTATAATATTATATTATAAGATATAAGATAACGCATATGCAATTGCGTATGTCTATGGGCAACGGTCACTTCGCTATTTCAGCGATTTCAGGTGGCCGCTCGCTCGTTTGCTAAAAGATGATATAATATATATATATATATATATATACTAGCTATCGCCCGCGACTGCGCCCGCACAGGATTAAACAATAGTAGCCGATTCTCAGACCTACTGAATATGCTTATAAAATTTAATAAAAATCGGTCGGTTCGGAGGATTATGGTAACTAAAATTATGACACAATAATTTTACTAAAAAATGTTATTGAAATTAGATACTGTGAATATTTATTTTTTTAATTTGTTACTCTTTTACTATTACTATTTTTTCTGACTACTTCTAATACTTTTATCGCGTAGAATTAATAAATTGAATTCAAGTTTATTGATAATATTGATTTTAACGGTAAATATTGCGTTCGAATCCATTACATAGATTTAACAACAAAAATCAGTTTCCCATTTGTAATAGAAGGCAGCATTATATCTGAGAAGAAATTCAAAGATATGTGTGAAGTCAACCAACCCGCACTAGACCAGCGTGGTTGACTATGGCCTAGTCACCCTTGGTTTAGGGTAGGCTCCGAGCCCCTCAGTGGGGACGTATAGTGAGCTGATGATGATGAAGCATTATATATTTTATGTAATCGAACGGCAATAATATTACTAAAGATAATATAACAAAAGATCAAACAACTCGTCAACTCTTTAGGATATTAATAACAGAACTTAATTAAAATCATTTATCGTACCAAAATCTACATCTGTAGAAAATCTACGAGGAAATCTATAAGTTTTTGTTCATTACGCTATTTAGAATATCAGCCTGTAAACAAAGAGGAAACGATTCAAAGGCGGGAGTAAAACTAATTTCGCGCATTAAACAAAGCTTCGAAGTCCTCGCCGGATGTACAAGTTAAGAATTCAAAGCGGATTATCACCTTATTATATATTCACGA